ACACACTCTCTTTCAAATAAATAAAATCTTAAAAAACAAAACAAAACCACGATTTGATTTAAAATATATAAAAGTCAGACGGGCACAGTATTCAGAAGCACAGAGATTCTCCAAGTATATACGTTCGCATTTCTAGCAACCGTTAATGGATTTGACTGACCCAGAGCCTTAGTCACTCTGAAACGTCTAATTCAAGCACAATGGTAATGACACCATTCTCAATTCTACTACTTAGCCTCCCATGACAGAATGTCTCTAGCCTTGGCCATCCATTTCACAAACTCTCTCTTATGGAAGCAAGTTAGAGCTGACAAGGTGGATGGCCCACCGTAACTGCATCAGAATTTTTGGAGAAAAACAAAACAATATTGGCTATCATTTATGATCTCTGACGCCACAGGCATGTTATATATCTTATTGGCTCTTTTCAACAATCCTACAAGTTAGAGATTGTGGTTTCTACATTACTTATGGATAAACTGGGTCCCAAGAAGATTTCACAATTTGATCAGGGTCACAGAGGTTTTAGGTTGTAAGCTGGATTTCAAACCTAGGTAAATCCGATTTTTAAGTCTAATTTCTTCCCATTTCCCAGTGCTATTTCTATCTATTTTTTAAAGAGGGAGGTAAATATATTCTCCCTCTCTTATCCAGAGGGAAAACATATTTTAATTATAGATTACAGTAAGTACTGGGGCTCAGGCAGCACGGGTAATATATTTTATTTCACCAAGATATCCCAAAGAGCATCTTGGCTCAGAGTGGAAAACTGTTATGGTCAACATTCTTATTACCTGTCAAATTGGCTTGATACCATATTACTGAGCTCAGTATCTCCTAGTTCTCCATAAATGTTAAGTAAGAACTCTTACCCGCATGGAGGAAAGGGATATAAATAGAGCTAGCTCTACAAAAATAAAGCACAGAAGTTTGTGTGTTGGCATGGTTGACACCCAGAGGAGTTAGCTCATAAATCCTGGGATAATTCTAATGATGCCATTTTCTCGACCAGCAATCACAGAGTGGGAGCCAGTGGTCCTACCTCTAGTGTTGGCCCCTTATCCTTCCTTGCTTATGCTTATGGGGACCCAAGAGATGGGGCCATCCCAGCTGCATGTCCTGCGGTTTCCATTTGTCCCAGGAGGAGCTGTAAATTTGAGTGGTGTTAGAACACACTTAACCTAGAAACTTGGGGTTTGATCCTGCAGCTCTGAAGGTCAAGGAGACTGCCAACTCCCATTGTTTCCACAATCTCCTCCTTTGGGAGAAACCCCAGGCAGGGATTCAGTGTGTGTGTGTGTGTGTGTGTGTGTGTGTGTGTGTGTGTACTTTCAAGAATACAACATCGAAGTCACATTAATACTTTTTCTTGTTTTTTTTGAGATCTTCAACCAAGTTCTCTCTTTTTATTGTGTGTACATTTTTCTTTTAGCAGCCTATACACACATAGGCTAACTAATCTTTTAAAATTGCTTTTATTTCAAAGTTTGGCAAAAATTGGGATTCTGTCATGGACATAGATGTTTCTTCCTATCCTGGGTGAAAATTCCAGAGACCCAAAGCTTCAATGTATGTTCAGAATTTGTGCAAGTTAAAACAAAGGCAGACTAAGTGCCAAGGCAGCGTACACACCCCAAAACTAGAAATTTAAAATCCTTTTACTGTGTTAACATGCTTGAGTCTTCTTGCCTGGAGCATTTCCTCACAATGGTTTGGAGACAGGCACATTCGAGCCCTTTTCAAGGTGTAACCCTGTTTCTCTAAGCTAACCTGGCTGTATGGCAAGGAAAACTGAAACTGAAGGACAGTTATCAGGGCAACCTGTTTATTTTAGGGATATTATATTGTACGGATATCACTCAAATTCAGTAGGAACTCTACCCACACTTGTTGAGTCTTGTTTCTATGAAAAGACCTTTACTTGACAGATGACTGTTGCTATATTTCAGGGAGACCAACAGGAAAAATCTGTGATTTTTTTTTAACAATTTATAGGCTTTTCCTTTACAGCTACCTTGATTTGGTAACTGATCATGGAATTATCTTGAATTGATGTCTGAGTCTGAGAACTGATTTGTGATGTGTTTAAACATAGCATAGGACTTTCTGTATAATGATCGTGCCAACTAATTTCACTTCAGTTTCATTTTATTATTTATCCTGACTTTCCTTTGCCTGAATTGCTTTATCTAATCTTGCTCTATTCTATATAGAATATATACTATACATAAGGCATATAATATAGATAAATGGACAAACTGTAAAATAGTATGATTTGTCTGCCATCACAAATTCTTTTTTATGAAAAGGAAAAATTTGAACAAACAATGAAATGAAATGAATTGTGCCCTCAACTGGTGGTGTTCTGTTTCTTATAGTAATTTATCTTTTTTATGGATCTCTTTTTTCTAATACTATGTTGAATTTGTCCAAATAAGTTATTGGAGTCCCTTAAAAATGAGTGGAAGAGGCTACGGTTCTCATTCAGAGGGTATTCTCTGCCCTATGGTCTAGTCTTACTTTTCTTTTTTCCTTTCACTTTGCTTTTGTATGCTGACCTCTAGATTCTCAGGTCAGCCAGTCTCCCTCCGCACTGCCCCCTACACTCAGTATCCGGTCCACCAGGGAGTCTAACCTAGAGCTGAGTGTGCACATTAAGGCCCAGCACAGCCCCATGTCCTGAGGATATGGTAAATTGTGTAACAATCCACTCTCTGGTTTGTTTCAGGGAAGCTGACAGGTCTATATGGAAAACATCACAGAGAGTGGTATGCTGAAAAGAAATAATCATACAGAGCCTCCCCTGAGGAGCACTGGGTCCATATCATTAATCTTTGCCACACTCTTATGAAAGAGGCAGTGGGTGAGGCCTCTAATCCACTGTTTTATAAACGAGGGAATGGGGCAGATCGGTGGGGGCAAGCTGGGGAGTGGGGAGCTCATGCCTGGTGGGGGAGAGAGTGAGGGTGCCAGTAAAGAAAACCTATGACCCTGGAGGTCCCTACCACACTTGGCCTCCTTGTGACATCTCCCATACAGGCTGCAGCCTGAGCAAATGCAGCTTTTGTCTTTTGCATGAGTGTTTAACTGCTCGGGGAACTGGTATCCATACAAGGCCATCACATCTCCTTCTGCTTGGTTGCGGTCTCCAGCCCAGCCCCCACCCCAAGCGTGACACTAAGTGTCCTGCTCTCAGTAGCTGCCAAGGAGTTTAAATTCCAGGCCTCAGGGCAAAGGTTTTCTCCAGGTCTCTGCTCCAGCTCACCTCTTCCAGAAATGCTCTGATCACCCACTCTTAGAATTTCCTCCCCAGGCAAACCTGGGCTGATTGCATGGCCCCAGCACCTTCTCTGACGCCTCTTTGTCATGCGTGCTCAGTGTACTGGGCTGAAAATAAGGTGGCGGCAAAGTTGGCTTTGTCCCCAATTATGTCCCCTGTGCATAATGGGCACGGTTTTGCTTTTACCATTTTGCAGCCTGAATTACTTTCTCTGCCAAGCTTCGTGTCTCCATATGTGGCTTATTAACTATTTAATGAAAGTGAGAACTAATCTTCACCATTCTATTACTTGTAGAACTAACGTCCACCATGCAACAGTAGAAAAACAAGTAAAAATGAGAAAAAAGATAGCAAGATATCAAAGTAATTGATAATAAAAACAGACCCTCCTACAGGATAGTGTCTTCCCTGCAAGATGGAGACTAAACAGGTTTGTGGTACAATCTAAAGTGATACAATTTTTATAAGTTCCAGGATGCCTTTATTTTTCAATGTGCTCAGAGAGGTATCGCTTTAGAAGCCCAAACAACTATTGTGAAATAAACTTTTATTTATCTAGGAAGCAGAAAGCTAGAAAGTTAAAACTGAAAATTCTGTGCAATAATTACATTAAAAATAATAATAGTTAATGTCTACTGAGCACTCAATACATGGCAGGCACTAAAAAAAACTTTATATGCACTACCTCATTTAATACTCATAAACATTTATGAGGGAGGTTCCCCATTTTGCAGATGAGAAAAATAAATTTCAGAAAGGTTAAGCAACTTGCCCAAAGTCACATAGCTAATAAGTCACACAGCCTGGATTTGAATCCGGATCGTTTGTTTTTTGTTTTTTTTTTTTTCCTGATCCCATGATCCTCATTCTCAGGTGTTGCAAGCTTCTGAAGGGTCTTCTGAATTACCACGTGAAAACTTTCTTTGTGTGTAGCACTGTATTTTAATATCAAGTCTGTTTTATGGTCTGCTAAGTCTGTGTAAGATTTGTAGGGAAAAAAAACCCCACCTTACTAAGAAATCGGATTCCTAGTTTTAAGGCATAGTGTATCAAATAAAATCATGAATGTGAAAAACCTTTGGAAAATAGAAAAGCATTCTACAGAGGGAGGAGGCTGCCATTGCTCTTAAAAATGTCAAGGTGTATGTGATATGCACGGTAATTCTCAGTTGACCAGAATATTCTGAACCCAAGCACCTGCTTAACACCGGTAACTAGTGAACAAGCTACCTTTCGCCGGGTCCTGGCCTCTGCAGAACCACGTGTTGGTTCGGCATTACAACCTTGTGCTGTTCCAATTTCTTTCTGGGCCACGACCACTTGCCTGGCTCCGTGGGGCACGTCTATGTCACCAGGCACGGAAACTCCTGATGTGCAACCAAGCGTCCAGATGCAGAGGAATAACGAAGGACAGTGGGGTCATCACCAAATGAGCGGATTTACCGCCCCCGCCCGGGGTCTGCGGGCTCGGCGTGCTCACGCCGCGGTTAACTAGCGGCTGGCAGGGCCGGCGATTAAGGGCCCCTCGGTCTCACCTGGTCTTGGAGGAGTTTCCTCCTCCAAGTGTGGTGGCTCACGTGGCGTGGAAACCTCGTGAAAGCCGCTCATGGCAAGAGCATATAAGACCCCCCCGGGGGGGGGGGGGTGAAGAAAAAGGAAAGAGAAGCGCGCGGCTCACTTGTCCCCGGCTCCAATTGGGAAGAAAATAGCGGCTTTACGAACGATTGAAACGACCGGAGAACTTTCTTTTAAGATCTTAAGGAAGCCAGGCTGCTACGCCCTGTAAGCCGTACTGTCCCGGGCGTGAAAAGCAGCTGGGGAGAAGCGCCTGTCCTTCCGACAACTCCTTCCCGAATCCTGCCGAGAGGAGCCCAGGGTGGCGGGAAAGCAGGGCGTAGGCACTGGAGGGCGAAAGGCGACCAGAGGCCTGCCCTGGCCTTCAGAGGTGACCTGACGCCAGGAAGGAAGCTTATTAACCCTTAGGCTCCCCCCGCCCCCCTTCCTTCTCCCCCGGGGGCGAGCCGGCTCCTCCTCCCGGTCGAGCTGGCCTGGGGCAAGATGCGCACAGCCGTCGGCTCGCGCGCCCTGCCCGTCCCTCCCAGCCCAGGAAGAGGTGAGAAGGGAGGGCGCTGCCCAAAGCCGAGCCTGGCGAGTCCGTGGATCCCAAGTGGACATCCTGGGCGAGACGGCTGAGCCCCCGCGACCCCCGCGCCGGCCGAGCACCGCAGGCGACCCACCTCCCTGTTCCTCCGCCGCCGCCTCTGCACCCACACCCCGACTCCTAGCCTGACCCCCCCACCCCCGCTCCAGGACACCCCCAGCCCCGCGCCTCGCGCAGGTGGCGCAGACGCCCCTGCCCTCCGGCGCCCCCTGCCGGGGAGAGGGAAGGCAGCGGCCGCCGAGAAGCCGAGCACAGGCGGGGAAAGAGCTCCAGCGCCGGGCAGAAGCCGGGAGCTTCCCTGATGGTGCCGCCGCCTCCGAGTCGGGGAGGAGCGGCGAGGAGGCAGCTGGGCAGGAGCCTGGGTCCGCTGCTGCTGCTCCTGGCGCTGGGACACACGTGGAGCTACCGAGAGGAGCCCGAGGACGGCGACAGGTAAGCGCTGCCAGCCCCGGCTGGCTGCGCGCCCGGTTCGTGGGGTGGGGGCAGTATCCCGGCCCCTGCAGGCGCCCGCACGCCCCCCAGCGCCCCGGCTCCGCTGGCACGGGCTGGGGGCTCAACTACCCCGGGCGGCATTAAACTCCGCGCCCTGCCCGGGCTCCCCGTCAGTGGGTCTGGGGCGCCCTGGTACGGCTCCTCCGGGGCTGGGTTCGCGCCGGCGGACCCCAGCCCAGGCCCCGAGGCCGCTCGGCGTCCGCGCTCGGGGACCAGCGCCTGCTCGGCGCGCCGGGACGCAGCGCCCTGCCACCCTCGCGCGCCCTGCCCTTCGCTCTCCGCGGACGGCCAGCGAAGTGGCTGCCCTGTCTTCCTAGAGAGATCTGCTCAGAAAACAAGATCGCCACGACGAAATACCCGTGTCTGAAGCCTACGGGGGAGCTCACCACGTGTTTCAGGTAAGTCTCCGGGCTCTGCCGAGTCCGCCGCCGAGCACCGGGGCTAGTTGGGAAGGCGGCTGCGCAGAGGAGGGGTTTGGAGACGCGCTCGGTGACTGGGGGCCACGGTTGCGCCGGGATGTGCTTGGGGAGTCCTTTAGTGCAGACCTCTCGGTGTGGTTTTTGGGCCAGAGCAATGATGGGCAATCAAGTGTGCACCTAGACTTTGCACCCTAGGACCCTGAGGCGTTTACCGCTTCTTGGAATATTTCGTGTGGTGGAGAGGAAGAGGCTGAAAGCTTCTAAGTGGATTGGATTGTGGGTGCAAACTGCGCCGTGGCAAAGACGGATGGCCGCGTTTGCGTTTTGTTTCAAAAACACAGTTGACAAATACTTAGTCCTTGACTGTCCTTTGACCCTCTCCTGGGACGGAGTGCAACACACTAACGGTCTCTGGAGGCAAAAGGATGGAGGAGGTTTGCGGGCTGTGGACGTGGGTATGTGTGTGGAGGGGGGGGGAAATGTTGAGCTTGTTGAGCCATAAGGAGAGTACTTCCTGAAAGTGCAGTCCACAGATCACCTGGGTGCTTGTTAAAATTACCCCTGACTAGGGCTAGGGAATCCATGTAGATTGGAAAACGTTTCCCAGGTGGTTCTCATTCTCAAATTACTGTTCCCTGCTTGCAGCCTTTTGGAGGTGAGGGTTGATTTGTTTTCACCGTTGAGTTCTTGGCTTTTGGTCCACTGCTTTGAATGGGGGGCATAGATCCATAAACACGAATTGCTTTTTAAAGGTATGGTGCAAGGTACTGGGAATCACACTCCCGCCAGACTGTTTCAGCCAATCCTACGCTCTGGGGTGCCAGGATAAATATTGGGTAGTACAAGGTAATGCAGCAATCCCCAGAAGTGAATTTGGAGAAAAGCTTTATTCATAATGTAACAGATGAATCAATCACCATGCTTTTGGGGCCGCTGAGATCTTAGTTCACATGCTCAAAGTTTCAGATATAAGTGGTTTCAGGGCTGGTGAGTTTGTGGTACACAAACCAGTAATCAGTTACGTTGCATACGGTGCTTTAAAATCTTGTGGGCAGTGGAATGACCCCCATCCTTTAAGTGGGGCAATACTCCCTGGGCTTGGGAAGCATTGTCTTATCCAGGACATGGGTGGTCAACACCGATCAAATGTGCTGAGGCCTGGGTGGGGGAGATGGGGGGTAGGAGTATGTTCAGTTGACAGGTAAAGACTTGAAGAGGTTAACTGGGTAAGCAAGGTTATCCAGCTGGTGGGATGACCCGAGGGTACTAGCACCAGGATTGTTTGCCTGGCGCCAGCCCCATGTGTCATCCACATGACCACAGTATTAGGACGTGTTGTTTTCCTAGCATTCTAGTACAAAGCCTCTCACAGGGAAAGTGTCCCTGAGATGGTTTACTCATTTGTTCAGTCCCTGAAGGTCAGACTGCACATAAATCAGTGGTACTTGCAGAATGCATGTCCAATTTTCAGAAACCACTGGTGCCGGATTAGTGTTCTAAGTTGACTGTTACTCCTCTTCCCTGGTTTAATTTTTTTTACACTGACTCCCCAAGAGACACTATCAATGTCTTTAAGTGTTCTCATTAATGGCTATCCAAAAGAACAGCTTATGAGAACTAACAAGGCTATTTTACATCACAGAAAAATAAGGAACTTTGTTTTTGGGAATGAGAGGAATGGGAGAGGGGTTTTTCATCTGGGGAAAATGAGTAGTGGTCCCTGTGAATATTTTCTGGTTTTGTTACTTTGTTTTATGGATAATCCAGGGTTCTGTGTATACGGTTATACTGTTCCTGTAACTCCGTAAATTCCTGAAGACAGTTGATTGGCAGTTACTGAGCCCCTGTTTGCTTTTGAACCCCAAGAATGGGGGGACTTGTGCTTGGTTTGTGGATTTATTGTCTCGGCTCCTAGAGGCTCTTGCTCCAGGTGGGATCTGGAAACCAGTATCCTCTAGGAGCTTGTTAGTGTCCAGGCCCATCCCAAACCTCCCAGATCAGAGCCTGTGTGTTAATGTAACGTGCATTAAAGGCTAAGCACTTACATAGGAACCACGGTCCTCCATCTGGTCACTGTGCAAACCCATTTAAATTCAAGAGGCACAGAGGCTTCTACAGGTGCACGAGTAGTTACTCCTACCAAATCAACCAAAAACTAAAAACCAGCCTTCCAGGAGACCAGACTCCTCAACTCTTGGATGATCCTTAATTAAGCTTAAGTACAGTAGCTGAGCTGCTTGGGAAATACTGACAGATGGCCCGGATTTTACCCCTCGTCCTTTGAACAGTTTTTAGCACAAGTGAGAACTACAGAAGTCCTTCTGAACTTAAATTTTTTTATGGGACTTAAAAAAAAAAAAAAAAATTTACTCCCACCATGTTCATGGTAGTGTTAATCTGATCTGTTATTCCTAAAAGCTATAGAGACCTAAATGGTACGGAGAAGGAAAGCTGGGTTCAGAATCTTTGTTCTGGACCGCCCCCCCCCCCCACCTTTGTATACTTGTTTCCCAGGGTTTCACCCAAGCACCTTCCCACGTTTGCCTTCTGTATATGAAATGACAGCCTGAGGACTTTGTACTTAGCACCATTCTATGCACTTTACATACATTATCTCTAATCCTCAAAGCCACTCTTTTGTATTTCAGTTTTACAGGGGAAGAACCGAAACTCCAGGATTAAGTAAACTTGGTCAGGGTCACAAAGTTAATACACGTGGGAGCCAAGATTCAAACCCAGGTTTGTCTGACTTCAAGGTCTGGGCCCAGGCCCTTTCATCATCCCAGAGGTGCCTACAGAGGAGGTAGAACTTTCAAGATCCTGGGGTCTAAGGAAGACTATAAATTCAGATGGCAGTAAATTTAAAAGACCGTTTGATGGAAAACAACACTCACCATGACAGTGGTTTTTCAGTTAACCACCATCCTGGAGATCTGTCCTTAAATAATTCATATTCTGTCATATACAATATTGGTTCATATGTGTATAGCTTTCCTTCCTTGAAGGATTTCTTAATCACAGGGCTGTCTCGAGACCATCTAACCCAGTGTGCATTGGGCCAAGTGCCCAAAGTTAAACTTGAGTGAATGCCAGTGACAGCCTACCAAGCTTAGAGTATGTACTGCTCAGTGTTATAATCCGATGCAGGGTGTACTCCTTTATTAAAGATTTCACCGTTGGGGTGTGATTTATCTAAGACTCTTATAGCCAAACTAAGCATATAAATTTATCAGGGTGCTAGCCTCTTGTGGCTGTTTTTCCCCACAAGTTTACCCCACCCCCCACCCCCCGACCATGTAGTTTTGAACAAGAGGTTCATGTTTACCTTTCATTTATTGGGTCTATCAGTAAAACCTGTTAAAGGCTTTTTTAAAAATGAATACATTGTGTAGGGGATGTCCAGAAAATCCAACTTTTGAACGAAGCAGTATCTAGTAAACATTCTAACTTTCCTGATCCGGTAAGGATTTACTGAGCATCTATTAGCTTAAAATAGCCTTACAAAATGCCTGTAGAATAAGTTACTGTCTGGTCTGCTTAGAGACCTGATTTTTAGACTAAGGCCTTTGAAACTAACCAATACGCAATGGTAGATGATCCAGTTCAAAGTCCTGTAGTTCATACTGTATCGATGATGGAGATGAGCTTAGAAGCAGCTAGGAATGGCTTTCTGGGCAAGAGAAAATACTTTATCACTGTTAGGTGTTTAAATTGCATTGGCTGTAGCTCCGTTTTGTGGTTTGTGGACTGCCACGGCCCGTAGCTTCCCCTCGGCAGTGTTTGTCCCTCTGCAGCTCATTAGGTACTGCTCTTAGGACCCTGTTCCCGCGGGATATAATGACCTAGGGATGCCAAAACCCCCACTTTTCCATAATCTGTATTGCCAAATCCTGTTAAAAGGTCGAAGTTAATGTGATCTTTCTGCAAATGGGTTTGTGTGGGATTTGGAGAACAAGAAGGTCACTTAGAGCAGCCCTACCAGCTTGAGAGCCCTGCACTCTAGCTGAGGCTACATTGGAGGGAAGACTGGAGAATGTGCTATCTGGTGGGTCACAGTTCCTACAGAGGGCTCGGAGGTCAACCTGAGCAGTAATAGGAACTGTGCCAGTTGGAATCCTAGCTTGACTAAATTGTTCTGTGACTTAGGATTTGAGAGACCACTAAGGTAAAGAAACCAATTAGTGGTGAAGTTACAGGGTTATGGTGAAGGATTAAATGAGCTGATATACATAGGAAGTGCTGGATGAACAGTACCACTCATACTGTTGAATCCCCCCCGCCCTCCACGTTTGGCACGTTGGGTGCACATAGGTGCTCAGTGGACATGGAGTTTTGGACAGTACGGTAGAAATTTTTGAAAAAGTGAACTCCACATCCAGAAATGGTGTTTATACACCACTGTACGCTAGTTTTTAGATACGTTTTCAAATGCAGGAAAGCCCAAAACTGCAGTGCCTCGGGGGGGGGGGGGGGGAAATCACAAAGCGTATCTGTGTTTCTTGCTTGCTGACCATATAAAGCGCCCTACTCATGTGCCCATAAGAGCAGGAAGAAGGCATAGTTTAAAGGATCTTAGAGGCTTGCCCCTTGCCTGAAGTCACGAAGGACGCTCTGGGCAGAGACAAGGCTAGGAAGCAGACCCTCTGGTCCTCAGCCCACTGCCGACAAAGCTCAGGACCGGCACGGGGTGGGTGGGTGTGCTGTGGGTAATCGTTGGCTCAGGGCATGCTGCCCCCTTTCAGAAAGCACATCTTCATGATCCTCTGCTGAAGAGGAGCTGGTATGAAAAGAGCAGGAGACCGGTGGTTTGGGTAGGAACTGTCTAAATTGCAGGCAGCCTCGGTTTCCCTGGGTTAGACCGTCTGTCACTGGATGGTCAGCCCGCTTGTGTGTGGGGGGGGGTGGACCAAGTGTCCCCTGGTTCGTGACCATACCCTCTGAGGCTAGCCTCAGGCCTGGACAGTGTTCCACATGTCAAA